TGAAGATAAGAGTCTTACCTTGTCATCCAGGTTGGAGTGCAGTGGTGCACTTGTAGCTCACTGTAACCTCAAACTCCTGGGCTCAAGTGATTCTTCCTGTCTCAGGCCCCTGAGTAGCTGGGACTATAGGTATGCACCACCATGCCCAGCTAATTTAAAAAAAAATTTTTTTTTAATGTAGAGACAAGGTCTCTTTAAGTTCCTGGTCTTGAACTCCTGAACTCAGAGGATCCTCCCATCTCAGTCTCCCAAAGTATTGCTTTTACAGGCATGAGCCACCGTGCCTGGCCCCTGCCTCTCATTTTAATTTTTAAGTAATAAATGTGCCTTTGCCACTGGTTTTCTTCTAATTCATGACACAGAAGTGACTCCCTTTTCCTGGGCACTGTCTGAAAGACCACTGCCTGGTGTTAGGTCTCCTAAAGGCACCACTTTTCACAGATTTTACAGTGAATAAATTTCACAGTTACAGCACATACAAATCCACCCTATTCTTTCCTTGCTTCAGAGGGTTGAGGAAGATACCCCATTGGTAGTGTCTTTGTTTATGTCCCTGCATTCATTGTTAAGTGAGTACATGCCACCAGGCTCTGTCCCCAGGTGCTCATAGCCCAGCAAAGGCAACAAGACACATCATGCCCAGATTTCTAGTTGTAGTAGGTCTAGGATAACTGGAGCCTGCTTAAGCCAGGCTGTGCCAGGAGGACCCATCTGAGAAGTAGCCTGATACACAGAGGGAATAGCAAGTGCAAAGGTACTATGATCTACCCTGACCTCTTCCCTTTCATCCTCTACCCTGCAGCCTTGCCACTCTTGAGTTATGGTCTACAGTAACCCTCCTACATCAGATCTACCCTCCCCTGCTGCTGTTCAAATCCAGTGGCCCCACCCTGACACCTACTTCCCTCTCTTTATCTGGACTGCTCACTCACTGCCAGCATCCCAGAACATGCCAGGCTGGCTCAGGCCACTTTAAATCTAGCTGCTCCTGAAATGACTCCCCCCACCCACTTCCTCCATGTACCCCTCACACCCACCTCTCTTCTGTCCACTTCCTCCTCATCCCAACAGATAGCCCTTTACTTTTTATCTTTATGTGTCTTTATTCTAGAGATTCTATAGCTGCCATAGAGTTTACCCATTTAAACTGTGTTGGGGCCAGGTATGGTGGTTCATGCCTATAATCTCAGAGCTTTGGAAGGCCTAGGCAGGTGTTGTGGGGGGCACCTGTAGTCCTACCTACTTGGGAGGCTGAGGCTAGAGAGTCGCCTAAGCCCAGGAGTTGGAGGTTGCTGTGAGCTGTGATGATGCTACTGCACTTCAGCCTGAGTGACAGAGCAAGAACCTATCTCAAAAAAAAAAAAAAAAGTGTATTTGATTTACTGACTTTTATTTTTTATTTTATTTATTTACTTATTTTTTTTTAGAGACAGAATCTCACTTTATTGCCCTTGGTAGGGTGCCATGGTGTCACAGTTCACAACAACCTCTAGCTTTTTTTTTTTTTTTT